TCTGCTTCTTGCTGCTTACTGTTCCTTGTTGATGGACTGCGCGAGGGGGGGGAGGCCCAAACGGGCAGGTTTAGCACGCCCTGTGTGCTCTGAATTGCTGGGGTGTTAAAAAACACCCATCACGCAGATCGCCGGGGTCAGGGCCCAAAACCACACAGGATTTGCCACATTTCTGACATTCGGTGGCACCCCTCACGCAGATCGTTGGGGTCAGGGTCCAAAAACACATGGGATTTGCTGGCACCCCTCACGCAGATCGGCGGGGTCAGGGTCCAAAAAAATATGGGAGTTGCCACATTTCTGACATTCGGTACACCCCTCACGCAGATCGGCGGGATCAGGGTGCAAAAACATAAGGGAGTTGCCACATTTCTGAAATTCGGTGACACCCCTCACGCAGATCGCCGGGGTCACGGTCCAAAAACACATGGGATTTGCTGCATTTCTAAAATTCGGTAGCACCCCTCACGCAGATCGGCGGGGTCAGGGTCCAAAAACACAAGAGATGTGCCACATTTCTGAAATTCGATGGCACCCCTCACGCAGATCGGCGGGGTCAGGGTCCGAAAACCCAGGGGATCCTCAACATTTCTGAAATCCGGTGGCACCCCTCACGCGGATCGACAGGGTCAGGGTCCAAAAACATAAGGGAATTGCCACATTTCTGAAATTCGGCGGCACCCCTCAGGCAGATCCGTAGGGTCAGGGTCCAAAAACACAGGGGATTTGCTACATTTCTGAAATGCGGTGGTACCCCTCACGCAGATCCGTAGGGTCAGGATCAAAAAACAAACAGGTCCCGACACTGCTTCACGGCGGCGCCCAGACCTCATGATTTAGCTTTTGCATCTCCCATTATCCGAGACAGGGGGCCGGCGGCATGGGGCGAAGCCCTTACGGATAATATGAACCCAGCGACACACCTACTAGCTATCTTCAGGCAAAGAAGAAAGACGATGCAGTGCAAAGCAAATCACATCCAATCACACCAAGACAATGCAATGCAACACAAGGCGAGGCAATTCAAAACAAAGCAAGGCCATGCAGAACGATGATACGCGAAGCCGTGAAAAGCAGCACCAATGAAGCAACGATGCTCAAACCAAAGCCATGCAAAGCCATGCAAAGCCATACAAAGCCATACAAGTCAAGCAATGCAGTGCAAACCAATGCACAGCTATGGAAAAGCAAAGCATGCAAAGCCGTTCAAAATAATGGCATCCCAAGCAACTATATGCAACGCAGTATGCGGAAACGAGATTCACAGCAGTATACAAAAATATCATGCAATGCGAAGCCGTGCAAAATAATGCAGATTTCGTCATAAAGGGAGGGGGGTCTCATTTCGGGGGGGGGTCTCTTCCAGGCTATCTTGGAGGGCCTGGGGGGTCTGGGGACGATGTTTTGGAGGGTTCTCCCACGGGGGAGGTCTGAAATGGCTTGTCTTGGAGGGTCCAGACCCCCTCCCTTTTATTACGAAATCTGGGGTATGCAGGATGGATGGCACAGGGTGAGGAGCCAGGCTACAAGGGCAAGAGTGAGAGGCAACGGACGAGGGAGTGCAGAGTCAAGAGCAGAGGGCCCAAGCCAGAGCCAGAACGGGAAGCCGCGCCGAGCATGCAGCATGATCGAGGGCAGGAGGCAAGGGGCACGAGGACACCGGGTGAAGGCCACCCCGGTACGCGCGAAGGGCCAAGGGGGACCTGGAAGGGGCCGTTGGCAGCGGGGGGGCGCGGGGAGCAGCTCTGGCTCGGCTTGCGCCGCCGGGAAGCATCCACATCCCCAGCTGCCGGAGCCCCGCCCTCCCGCCCTGGATCCCCGGGAGGCGGGCAGACGTCCACATGCACCGCTCCCTTCGGCGGCGAGCGAGGGGGGGAAGTGAGGAGGAGGAGGAGGCCTTCTCAGAAGTCGGCGGGGCTTCTCGGAGGCCCTCGCGCCCGCTGAGAAAAGTTTTCTGCGCCGTCGGGGACGGCTTCGAAGACTCCTCGGCAGGCCCGGGGACTCCCGCGCCTTCCGAGAGGGCCTTCTTCTCCTCGCTTCCCCCCCCTTGCTCGCCGCCGCTCCCCTGACTACCTACCAGACCACCCCAACCCAACCCGAAGACCCGAATTTGACCCGAATTTCGGGTTGGGGGGGTACGGATACCATGTGTTTTTTCAACGTTCCCCGACCCCCCCCCGCTGGAAATCGAGGATAAATTGAGGCCTTCCGGTTGGGTTGGGGTGGTTTGGTGGGTGGTGACCCCCCCTTGCTCGCCGCCGCTCCCCCGAGGCCACCGAGCTCCCCAGGGCACGTCTCCGGCGCGGCCGGCCAGAAGAGGCCGGACGGGCCCCGGCAAGCGGACCGCACCCGCTCCCCATGGGGCGGGGCGCGCGGCCCGGCCAGAGCTGCGAGGGGGATCCGGCCTCCAAGAGGCCCCAGGGAGGGCGAAAGGCTCCCCTCCGTCCTCGATCCTCGTCCTCCTAGGGGGGGAAACAAGCCTACCTCGCCGCCGCTCCCCCGAGGCCATCGAGCTCCCGGGGCACGTCTCCGGCGCGGCCGGCCGGAAGAGGCCGGGCGGGCCCCGGCAAGCGGACCGCACCCGCTCCCCATGGGGCGGGGCGCGCGGCCCGGCCAGAGCTGCGGGGGGGAAATCGGGCCTCCAAGAGGCCCCGGGGAGGGCGAAAGGCTCCCCTCCGTCCTCGATCCTCGTCCTCCCAGGGGGAAAGCAAATCTACCTCGCTTTTGGCCACCCTCGCTTCCAAGAGATACCAAACAGTGCCAAATTGCAGCCTGTACTGGTCATGCCGCTTGACGGGGTGGCGCGTGGTATGGCTTGGTTTTGCCTGGAAGCGAAAGCGGGGTAGGTAGTTCACGCTCTGACTTCCGCCCTCCCGCACGACCTCCCTGGGAGGACCAATGGTACCCTTACCGCTACTCCCCAGATCTCTCCTGGGGGGCGCTCTGACCAGCAGTTCGAGGCGGATCCAGCGATGGCGACGAGGCCCTCCCAGGAGGCTCAGAGATGCGAAAACGGTGCAAGAGCAGCGGTATCGGTACCTTTCTCTTGGGCAAGCCGAGGGAGCGAGCGTTCGAAGCGAGATACTGAAGGGGCCCAGGGACACAGAAATGAAGAAGCACGGATGCCGGGATTCCCCATATTGTCAATATCGTCTGGATGGTCGTCTTTTCCATATATTCCATTTCCTATATTTTCCTATATTTTCCTATTTTTCCTATACATGTATTTTCAACCACTCCCTGTATGTTCCCCGTTTTCCTGGAGATCGGCATGTATTTGCGTCTGTGTGTGTGATTCCATCCTGGGCAACGCCCTCCCCACGCGCTCCCGCGCCCGCGGTCAAATGAGAGGCAGCAGGGGAGACCACCCACCACCTTCAACACACATCCTGCAGCACCAATACAGTCGGGGCGTTGACCTAAGGAACCCTAAATAAGGAACGGGGGCCCTTTTTTCCACAAGTTAAACTTCGATTTCCCATCGAAACTATAAGGAAACCCTGAGGCGAGCTGCGAAACACTTAAGGAACGCGGAGCCCCTCCCCAACGAAAAGGGTTCCTTCTTCAGGGCCCCGACGGTAAAGTCAGACTGATAGTGAGGATGAGCAGTGAGGATGCAAGGGGCCTTGGACGCCCATGCCGAAGCTTTTCCAGCGGGGCTGACCATCGAGAGTGGTTAAGAATGGACCGAATATGACCGAAGAGGCAAGGATGCAAGGGTACCCTTGGAAGTCGATCATCATTAATATCGTTTTGGACTGTAGATCCCTACCTCCCAGATGGGATCCGAGTAGATGGGGTCAGAGGATCCCGCCGTATCGCCGATGCATCAGCGATGCGGCTTCATGGGGAGCCCGACTTTCTCCACGCCGACGTCGCCGATGCATCGGAAACGTCGCCGATGCATAGCCGATGCATCAGCAATACCGCACGATCCTCCGGCCCCATCTACTCAGACCCCCTCTGGAAGGCCTAGAACCAAGAAAACGAAGAGGACTGGCTGCCAGAAGATCGTGTTTAAATCTTCTGCGATAGCCCAGGTTATCCAGCGGGGGAGGCCCCCGATAAACTAACCTGTTCGCTGTGGGCAGCCCCACGCATTGCCGCGCGCACCCATACTGCGCACCCCTATCGGATCTGCGCAACCGACACGGTCCGGTTATCCGCGGGGGGATGCGGGGGGGGTAGGCGTCGAGAGAGAGAGAGAGAAGCCGTGCACGTCAGAGGTACATTGGCAAAAAACCACAGCGAAATGCGATGCGAAGCCTCCGGCGTCGCTGGCTCCATCAATCATAAAAATCAGCATCATAAAACTCGCACACCAAAAACAATCAAACGTTCTGCCCTTGATGCCACAAGGCGTGCAACGCTTCCTCGCCGCCGGCCGTCTGGCAAGCAAGGTCGTACACCTGAAATTTCCACGTGTTGCGGGGCCGCCCCCTGCGGCGAGCCCCAGCCTGCACGAGCTCGAAAGTGCCGGGTTGGAAAATGCACCTGCGCACGGGGCTGTTCCCTGGCATCAGGGCAATTTGCCCCAGGAGTTTCAACTGCCTGCGCGCCAGTACGTCGCTCAGCTTCTGAGCGCCACATCGGGGTAGGCGTCGGCGACTCCGAAATGTGTGCTCTGCCAAAGGTGTGGTTTGCAACAGGCCCCCTCGGGGGGGCACCTTGGGGGGCGGGCGGGGACCTCGGCGGAGCCCTTCGACGCGCCGCGAGGAGGCCCGACGAGCCCCGGCGGCGCCGATCGCAAGCCACACCCCGGCAGAACTTTGGGAGTCCCGAAACGGTGCGGTGACAGACCGTGCGGCGACTTCGAAATCCCCCAAGACCTCACCGCACGGTCCGTCGCCGCACGGTCTTGGGACCCTGGAGGCCCCTGTCGCCCGAGACGTCCTCGGAGAGGGACTCGAGTCCCAAAACCGTGCGGTGGCTCCGAATCCCCACCGATCGGCACGCGTTCCTCCTCTGCTGCTCGGCGGCCGAGGCTGCGCGGCGCGCGCCTCGAACGCAGCGAGGCGGTCCTGCGCACCCTTGAGCAGCGCGTCCTGGCCAGGCGCCGCCGCGGCTCGCAGCACGGCGGCGAGCCGCCATCCTCCTCCTCCTCCTCCTCCTCCTCCTCCTCCTCCTCCTCCTCCTCCTCCTCCTCCTCCTCCTCCTCCTCCTCCTCCTGCTCCACCTCCTCCTCCTCCTCCTCCTCCTCCTCCTCCTCCTCCTCCTCCTCCTCCTCCTCCTCCTCCTCTTCCTCCTCCTGCTCCACCTCCTCCTCCATTTCATACTTCTGAGCAACTCCTCCCTGTCGCACCCCGAGGCCAGTCGGAAGGGCGGGCCGGGCGTGTCGACCGATCCTGAAGCTGAAGAATTGGGGACAGGTTCACGGATGGATGGCAGGCCGTCTTCAAAATGTGGCTCTCGCCTCAGCGCCGCGCACGTTATATTTTCACACGTGTGCAAACACTTCACGAGTTGAGTGCGGTTGTTTTCAAAATGTGGCCCTCGCCTCAGCGCCGCGCATGCTCGTCTTTAAAAATTCTAAGAGTTTACCTGATTGGGGCTGGTGGTTTTCAAAATGTGGCTCTCGCCTTAGCGCCGCGCACACTCGTCTTACAAATTCGCAACAAGCGTCACGGATTTCCATAGTTCACGTACCAGGAATGACATTCCGGAGCGGTTCAGGATTCTCAGGGCACAACAATTACCTTGATTTGCGGTGCTGAAATACCATGATTGGCGTTCCGGCACAATCCGGGATCGTCAAGACGCAACAGTCAAGTTGATCCGTTGCGGGGTGTGTGGACGACTCCCTGCATCATCCGCCACCGTGCCTCCCAGCATGCTGAGGCGTGCTGGAACGCCAGGTGCTGCCCCACAGGGCTTTTGTGTTCCGATGAAGGAACTCTCTCCCCTTGGTAGTAGCAGACCGTTGCGCGCAACCTCCCCCTCTCTCGAGGCCACGATCCCTGCAGAAGACAGTGTCCGAGACCCGAGCTTCCAAGCCGACCCATGCACGCAGCCAAGACGACCAAGATGACGCAACATGCCACGAAGACGGGCCAGGATGGCCCCAGGGCGGCCCAATATGGCCTCAAGACGCCCCAGGATGCCTCCAAGAGAGCTCAAAAGGGCCAAGCTTCCGTCAGCTCAAGACGGCCCAAGAACCATCCAAGATGGCCTCAAGACGGCGCCAGGGGCCTCCCAGAGGGACCCGAGGTGGCCCTAGAGAGGACCCAACGAGGGCCCAAGAGGCATCCAAGACGGCCCCAAGACAGCCCAAGAGAGCCTCCTGTGGGAGCAAAGACGGCCGGCGCCCAGACACCCACCATGCGGCCAAGAGGACCCCAAGACGACCCAGGAGAGCCCCAAGACAGCTTAATAGGGCCTCAAGACGGCCCAAGAGGGCCCCAGGGACCCCCAAGACTACCTTACAGGAGGCCGAAACTGCCCCAAGACGCCCTCTACACAATCCGTGAAAGCTCCTCAAACCCGCCACCGTGCCCTGAGGCACGACTTGGAGTGTCCTCGGGTCCTTGGCCTAATGCCTCAAGCATCAGCCCTCAATCCTGAAAAAAATATTTGAGACGGACCCCCCAGATTCACAAATCTCCTGGGGCTCCTGGCGTGCCCTCTGGGACACGCCGCGGCTTGCAGCATGATTTTTTCAAACCCAAGAGAACGCAAGACGGGCCGAGAGGGCCCCAAGAGTGAAGGGGCCCACAAGCACACAAATCAACACACAAATGACAGGAATCCCCATATCTTCCAAATATTGTCTGGGTTTCTGTCTTCCCCCCCCCCACACTTCCCATATTTTGCCATATTCTCCTGGGGGTCGACGATCAAGTGCGTCTGTGTGTGTGTTTCTCTCCCTCCCTGCGAGGAGGCCGCTCCGACGGCCGCCGCCGCGGAGCGCGCGTCCTGCGGCGAGAAGGCCCAGCCGGCCACCGCCGCGGCCAGGCCCGGCAGGTCCACGGGGGGCTGCAGCAGCCGCCGCAGCTCCCGGGCGGCCTGGCCGAGGGGCGGGGCGCGCTGCGGGCACCAATCGACTACGCGCAAGAGTGACCCTAGGTTGACTACCTACCAGACCACCCCAACCCAACCCGAGGACCCGAATTTGACCCGAATTTCGGGTTGGGGGGGGTACGGATTCCATGTGTTTTTTCAACGTTCCCCGACCCCCCCCCACTGGAAATCGAGGATAAGTTTGGGCCTTCGGGTTGGGTTGGGGTGGTTTGGTGGGTGGTGATAGGTAAGAGTGACCTTTGGTGCGCGGCTTCGGGGGCACCGCGGGGGGGACACACCCAAGCGCGCAAGACGCTGCTATCGCATCGCTCTGGGCGATCGGAGGACCCCTGTGGGCCCGCACCAAAGGTCACTCCGGCGAAAGGTCACTCTTACGTCTAGTCGAACCAAGAGCACACACCTCGGCGACTACAGTGGGTGCGGCTTGCGAGGGGTGCGGCTTGCCTCCCAGCACATCTGCCCCTCCCGCCCCCGGGAAAGGGATGGCACTGTCACTCGATGAGACCGAATCGCATGACACTGTCGCTCCTTCTAGTACAGCACAGCGGGGCACACATCGGGGATGCCAGTGCCGCTCGAAAAGACGACAATTATGGCATTGTCTCTCACAGAGGCCCCGGAAAGGCCGCCGCAAAGCAACTCGCACACCGCACCCTGGCGTAACCGCACCGATTGTAGTCGCCGAACACCAGCATCACCACCACCACCCCAAAGATCCGACGCTCCGACAAAGCTGGACCGGCCAACTTGTGGCCGTCTTCGGCCTCCAGGGGCCTCGCCAGGCCTCGGGACCGTCGACAAAACGACTCGGGACGAAGCACCAGCCCTGGGGAAGTGGTCCCGACCTCCGGGGGGCACGCATCAAAAAATTTGGACAGCCGGATGTCAGGGTTCAAGCCCCCCTCCCTCCTCTGCCCTCCCCTTTCCCTCCTGTCTACTGGGATGGGCAGGGGGTGAGGGAGTCGGCTGTGGAGCATATTTGTTGGGGGCCCCGTAGGGATGGGGAGGGAGGGAGTGTGGAGTGGTCAGGATCGGATCGACTCGGCGGGAGGGAGCGTCATGCTCCGCAGCGCCGTCTGTGGCCCTTCGGGCCACGAGATTGGAGCCTTGAGCTCAAAAGCAATCTTGGCTCCACTCAGTGCATCTCCCGCCCTGACGGCGGCCACCACCTCGGCCCCAGCAGTCCACCCTGGGAGGGGGATTAGGAGCGAGAAGGCAGGATCACTGACCAAACTACCAGTTCTGCGAGCGGACCGCCACGGAGCAGCCCCTCAGGTGTGTCACAGGTACGGCTAGGAACTGCCAGTGGGGGCACCCACTGCTCAGAGCGCACCCCAAGCCGCAGCCTGTTACAGCGAGAAGGGAGGAGGCGGATGTTGGCGGGGTGGGGGGAGGGGCGAGGGGGGAGGGGTAAGCTAGGTGCGCGCGCGAGCTGACATCCTACCCCATCACAACCATCGCTTCCCATTGCGCCGAAGCCTTCTCTATGCGCCGACGTGTGTCATAGCAGACCTGCAGGTCCAGAAGTTGACCCCACCGTGTTGTGCAAAATCAGAACAGGGCAGCTGCGTAAATTGGAGGAAGTGGTATCGGATGAGCAGGAGGATGAGCAGAAGGAAAAGGAGGAGGAGGAGGAGGAGAAGGAGGAGAAGAAGAAGGAGAAAGAGAAGGAAAAGGAGGATGACGAGGACGAGGACGAGCAGCAGCAGCAGCAGCAGCTGAAGTACAAGGAGCAGCAGGAGCAGGAGGACCATGAAACGGCGGAGGAGGGGAAAGGAGGGGGCGACAACGATGAGGAAAGACTCGGATCGGCGAGAGCGCCTTTCTGAACGACGGGAGCAGAGAGCGCAGACTCTAAAATGAGGCCAGCGCTGCAGCGAGAGCGCCAGTCTGGGAAACAAAGAAATGCCCAGATCGAAAAAAAACAGTTAACAAATAACGCGACCGACCCGATGTGCTACAGCAACAGCAGTAGCATCAGCAACAACAACAACAACAGCAGCAGCAACAACAACAACAACAACCACAACACAACAACAGCAGCAACAACAACCACAACAACCACAACAACAACACAAACAACAACGTCGTCAACGTCACCACAAAAAAACAACAACAACCACCACCACCACAACAACAACAACAACAACAACAACAACAACAACAACAACAACATCATCAACAACAACAACCACCACCACCACCACCACCACCACCGCCACATCAACGACAGCAGTAACAACAACAGCAACAACAACTGCAACGACAGCAGCAACAAAAACAGCAGCGGCAGCAGCACGCTACAACAACATCAACGACAACAGCAGCAGCAACAGTAGCATTAACATCAACATCAACAACAGCAGCAGCAGCAACAACCACAACAACAATAATAGTAATACCAACAACAAGCAGTGTACCCTAATTCTCGAAGTGTTCACACGAAACATGCGAAAGAACCACCCACATCATGGGGGACTCTTGTTCTATAGCGGGGTCCGTTATTCCCATTCCCAGAGGTCCCGCCCAATGAGGTCTTGCAAACACCTCCTCCGAGGAATTCAACATATCCCGCCTCGAAAAGACATGCCCGCACATTGCTGCGCCGATGCGAGACCGCCAGTGGAACCCCAGCGAAGGGTAAAGCACAAGGAAGTATCGAACGACAGGATTGCCTTGGTGGGGATGTGTGCTGTCGGCCTTAATGCAAGGTCCTGGCCCTGAATAGAAAGTGAGGAAGCCTCGAGCAGGGCTGCTGTTGTTGCTGGGAGCGGCGCCAATGCTGAAGAGAGTAGGGCGCTAGTCCAGCGTAAAACGGAAGGAAGTCTCGAGCGGGAACGCTGGATCTGTTGGGACGGCAGCTTTCGGCGGCGAGGAGGAACACCGCCTTGAGTAAGAAAGGAGGAAGCATCGAGCGGGAGCTGTGGTTTTGTCGGGACGGGGGCTGTCGGCGGCGAGGAACAGCACCGTCCCGAGGAAAAAGAAAGGAAATCTCGAGCGAGAGCGTTGTTCTTGCTGGGAGCGGCGCCAATTCAAAAAAGAACAGGGCACCAGTCCAGCGTAAAACGGAAGGAAGTCTCGGGCGGGAGCGCTGGTTTTGTCGGGGCGGCGGTTGTCGGCGGCGAGGAGGAACACCGCCTTGAGTAAGAAAGGAAAAAGCATCGAGCGGGAGCCGTGGTTTTGTCGGGACGGGGGTTGTCGGCGGCGAGGAACAACACCGTCTTCAGGAAAAAGGGAGGAAGCCTCGAGCGGGAAGGTTGTTCTTGCTGGGAGCGGCGCCAATTCAAAAGAGAGTAGGGCGCCAGTCCAGCGTAAAATGGAAGGACGTCTCGGGCGGGAGCGCTGGTTTTGTCGGGGCGGCGGTTTTCGGCGGCGAGGAGGAGCACCGCCTTGAGTAAAAAGGGAGGAAGCCTCGAGCGGGAGCGGTGTTCTTGCTGGGGGCAGCGCCGATGAAAGAAAGACTAGCGCGCCAGTCCAAGGAAAAACGGGAGGAAGTCTCGAGCGGGAGCGCTGGTTTTGTTGTTGTTGTTGGGGGGTCGATTTTGGCGGTCCCCCAAACCGCTCGAGCGTGGGCCTCATTTTCAAAGAAAATGCAGCCGGCGGCTCGGCGAGAGCGCCAGGGCGCCTTTAAGGGGTCCAACAATAATAATTGTTCCCTACCTGGGCTCTGCCTAGAAGGGTTCTTACCCGGTAAGCTTAAAGGGCCGGGCAGTGGGGCCCGCCCCGGGCGGTTCCCCCAGTATCCGCCCCGCGGTTCCCCCAGTGACGTTCCCTTAGCTTCGCGTTGCTTACCTCATCTTAGCTTAGCTTATGTCATATTACCTTAGCTTAGCTTCATCTTACCTCAGTTTTATCTTAGCTTAGCTTACCTTCATCTTAGCTTCGCTGAGCTCTAGCATAGCAGAGCACAGCATAGCATAGCATAGCATAGCATGGCATAGCATAACATAACATAACATAGCATAGCATGGCATGGCATAGCATAGCGCAGTTTAGCATAGCATAGCATATCATAGCATAGCATAGCACAGCGCAGTATGACATAGCATAGCATAGCTTAGCTTAGCTTAGCATGGCATGGCATTGATGGCATGGCATGGCATAGCATAGCATAGCAACTAATGCTGCTTTCCTCTTTCCTCGGGGCTCCAACTTCTAGTTAGGGTCGCAATGGGGTAATGTATTAATTAACATTCTAAAACCACCAACCCTGAGAAAAGGAAGCCCCCTCACAGAGTATCCCTCGCTTTGTGCAGCTGCGGAGCTGGAGGTCAGTCTCAGTCGGCCCTGGGAAGCAAGCATCTGACTCTCAAGGACTAAGTGCCGTGCAGCTTCTGGGCGTCGCTAAGCGACAGTATGTAAACCTGAAGCTGTCCCGAGCGCCGTTGGCCGCTCGGGCTCAGGGAGTGGGGGCGCACGGCGTGGATGTGGAGGGCGAGGGGAGGAGGGGAGGGCAGGGGAAGGCAAGGAGAGGCTCTGCACCGCGCCCGGTATCCGCACCCGTCTCCGCCCCTCGCCCACGCGCGCCCCACGAGCTGCGCGGCCACCCTCGCCGAGCCACGCCGCGCAGGGAGCCCCGCAGCGCAGGCTCGAGGAGTCGCCGGTCGGGGGCGTCCGAGAGGGGGGCACCCAAGGGGGGGGGGGGAGGCCGCAGATCACAGCCCGAGGTGCTCGCTCTGTGGGAGCCTTCCCGGAGCCGCTCGCTCGCTCCGCTCGTGCGTCGGTGCTGCGTCGAACGTCTGTCGGCTTGAGTCCAACCCGAGTCGAACTTGAGTCGAGCCTGAGTCGAACTCGAGCCGAACAAGAGTCGAGCCGGAGTCGGGCAGATCCGTCAGGCGGGCCCCAGGAAGAACCCCGAGACGAGCACCTGAATGGCCCGAGGCACGTGCGCGGCGCGGGGAGGAGCAAGGGGCGCATGACAATGTAAGAAGAGGGGGCCACGAAGCCCGGACAGATCTCCTGGCCCTGGCCCCGGCCATGGCATCCAAACCCCCTTGACATCGTTTCTAGATGCCTCCTAGATGGGGTCGGAGTAGATGGGGTCGAAGGATCGCGCCGCATCGCCAATGCATCGCCGATGTATCGGCGATGCGTCGTCGATGCATCGGCGGCGTCGGCGACGCATCGGCGACGTCGGCGTGGGGAAACACGGGCTCCGCATCGAGACGCATCGCCGATGCATCGGCGATGCGGCGCGATCCTCCGACACCATCTACTCCGACCCCGTCTAGGAGGCGCAGGGCTTCGTCGGCGATAACCCAATTTATCCGGTGAGGGAGGAGGGGCGGGGAGGTGCCAGCCAATAACCTAACTTTCTCGGGAACGCACTGAACTGGGTAAGTGCAAACCCGGGTCAGCCAAGCTCTGCAAGATCCTTGCAGGATCCTGCAGGATCCTGCAGGATCCTTGGGCGCCCGAGTTGTCCGGGGTAACTCGGGTCCGGGGTAACTCGGGTTTGGATTCCCGAAAAAGGAACCCGAGTTAGCCCTGACCCGAGTTACCCCTGATGATTCGGGGCTCTGGACGCCCGAGTTGTCCGGGGTAACTCGGGTCTGGGGTAACTCGGGCTTGGATTCCCGACAAGCGAACCCGAGTTAGCCCTGACCCGAGTTACCCCTGATGATTCGGGGCTCTGAGATCCTGCGCCCTAACCTAGCTGGGCGCAAAAACTGGATCTGAAGCTTCGGGTGCTGGATTTGGAGCCTCGGCGGTTGGCTCTGGAGCCCGGGGGGTGGGTTTGGAGCCTCGGGCGCCGGCTTCGGAGACCCCGCGGGCCCGATAACCCAGGTGATCGCCCAACCTTAGGTCGGGCCTGTCCCCCTACAGGGGGATTTTGGACGAACAAAAAAAAAAGAATCCAAAAATGCTCCAAAGATGCCCCAAAGTACGCAAAAAAATAATCCCCAGACTATTTTTGTTTTTATTTTTGGCGATTCCCCCTGTCGAGGGACAGGCCCGACTTAAGCCTAACCCTACACGAAACGGCCCCCTGGCCATCCACCCCCTCGTGGCCGCCCCCGAGCCGGGCCAGCTGAAGGGGAACTGGGACGCACAATCATAGATAGACACAAACAAACTGATTCCCCATAGCTTCCCATGTTTTCTGGGTTCTCGTCTCCCCGCCCAATCCCCATAGTTTCCCATATCTTCCCAGGACTCGACGATGAATCGTGTCTGTGTGTTTCTTTCCTCCTCCGGAAAATGGGAACATGTGGGAAGTGGGGGGAAGACAAAACCACAGAAACTATGGGAAAATAATGGGGAATCCTGTTATTTGTATATATTTTTATCTGTGTGTCCCAGGGCCCCTTCACTAAGAGCGGTCCCAGGACCAGTCCGAGGTGCATCACGGTGGCCCAGAGACAGCCCAAGAAAGCCCAAACACGAGCCCCCAGGGCGCCTCCAGACGGCAGACATGCGGCCCTGGGGCGCCGGCCTGCCGCCGCCCTCCGGGGGCCCGCGCGGAGGCCGGCTTCCGGGGGCCCCCCGCGCGGCGCGGTGCGCACGGAGGCGGGGCTCCATCCCTGCGGGGGCGCACGAGGACATGCTGGTGCCCAGTGGGCCCTGGAAACGACGGGGCCGTTTTGTTGCCGGTTCCGTTTTGCCGTTTTCGCTGCCGGCTCCGACGCCGTTGTTTGACCGGCTCCGGCTCCAAGTCCAATCCTGGAGCCGTTTCTTTGCCGTTTCCGGTCGCCGTTTTTTGCCGCTTCCTGTTTCAAGGGACACATTTTCGGAAACGGTGAAAAAACGGCCCTGCCGTTTCCGGGGCCCACTAAGTGCTGGTGCTATGTGCCTCTGTTGGATGCGTCTGGCCCGAACAGATAGGACAAACATCTTGTAGCGTGCCTCTTCCCGAGCGGTATGGCCAGAAAGTGCCCGCCAACGAGTGTGATAAGATGCTTCAGCGCGCGCGTCGCCCCAGGGGTGCAGGCGAACACATCGTATTAGTATGTTTGGGTGATGCCTCGCATGCGGTCCCCTTCAGCACCCCCGCGCGGACTTACATGGTCTGAGCGGGCTATTTCTGTCTCTTCTCGCGCTCTTTCCCTTTCCACCTTCGTGCCTCAATTCACCTCTCGTGCACCCCACCGCTTGCTGACCAGCGCCTGGCTGTCTTGGGCCACTTGGCGCCCGCGGACTTGAAAGGTTTGGGTGGTGCCGACAGCGGGAGAGGATGCGAGAGAAGGCAGGGTGTCAGAAGAGACGTCGGCATCATTGTCATATGTCCTCCTCGCCGCATTCCCTCTCCTTCCCCTCACCCACCCCACGGCGGGGAGGTGGCTGGGAGGGATACAACGCCAGGAAGGCACGAACGCCACTGCTCCTCCCCCCCAGCCTGGCCCCCTCTTCTCGACTCCACCTATTCACAATAAAGGATTTTTGGGAAGCCCTGCTGCTTCCAAGGCCCAGTAAAAACCGCATCCTGTGGTGAGTCAGTGAGGATCCGGGATGACCGCCCGGTTGGGGGTCTTAGGCCGTTCTCCGAGAATGTCTCGGGCAACTGGGGCCTCGAAGGTCCCCAACACCGTGGGCTGGCGGACCGTGTGGTGGGGTCCTTTGCGAGTTTTGAGGTCGCCGCACAGTCTGTCACCGCACAGTTTTGGGGCCCGAAACCCTCCAACGGGGGCGCCATGATGAATACGGGTCCTGAGTGGCTGCGCCGCGTCTGGCCGCCAGAAGCTCTCCACGGGTCCCGACCCCCCAGGGTCACGCCTCCCACCCCTCAGGGGGGCGGGGGTGGAGGAGGAGGAGGAGGAGGAGGACGAGGACGAGGAGGAGGAGGAGGAGGAGGAGGAGCAGAGGAGACGGCGGGAGCGGGGAGGAGACGAGAGGGCCCGAGAGGGGACCACAGGAGCAGACGAGAGCAGAGGGCCGGAGGAGACGAGAGGAGACCCGAGGAGAGGAGCAGGGGAGACGAGTGGAGCAGGAGGAGAGGACCGGGGAGAAGGGCCCGAGGAGACGAGAGAGACCGCAGGAGGGCCCCTCGCGCCGCGGGCGCGCCGCGGGGCGCGGTCGTGCCGGCCCCCGCGGCGGGCCGCCGCCGGCGCTCTCGTGCTGCCGCCGCTCGCGCCGCCGGCGCCCTGCGGCTCCCGGGCGGCGCCACGCCAAAAACCTCCCTCAACAACAAACCCGCCGGTCAAGAACAGCGAACAAGAGCATAAAATAAGGAGGCTCCTCGCACGGCCAGGGAGGGCTCCCGAAGAGGCCCCGCCGCCGCCCGAGCGGGCCTGCCCCCAGCGCTTCTTCCCCCCGCGGGCGAGCCGCAGGGCCTCCCCGCCGAGGCCCCGGAAGCCGCCGTCCTCCCCCAGCAGCACGCCAGTGGGAGGGCGCCGAGAGCGGAAGGGGGCACCCGCAGGCGAAAGGCGAGAGCGTCAAAAAGTCCAATCCTCGAGGGCCAAACAAATGAGAAGAAGAAGAAGAAGAAGAAAAAGAAGAAGAAGAAGAAGAAGAAGAAGCAGAAGAAGAAGAAGAAAAAAAAAAAGAAAAAGAAGAAGAAGAAGAAGAAGAATAAGAAGAAGAAGAAGCAGAAGAAGAAGAAGAAGCAGAAGAAGAAGAAGAAGAAGGAGAAGAAGAAGAAGAAGAATAAGAAGAAGAAGAAGCAGAAGAAGCAGAAGAAGAAGAAGAATAAGAAGAAGAAGAAGAAGAAGCAGAAGAAGCAGAAGAAGCAGAAGAAGAAGAAGAAGCAGAAGAAGCAGAAGAAGCAGAAGAAGAAGAAGGAGAAGGAGAAGGAGAAGGAGAAGAAGAAGAAGAAGAAGGAGAAGAAGAAGAAGAAGAAGAAGAAGGAGAAGAAGAAGAAGAAGAAGAAGAAGCGGGTAGAAGCATGAAGTGGGAAGGCGCTGAGAGTAGACTGAGTTTCCGCCCCCCAGGGGCGGCGCTGGAGGTGTCGCCAGGGGGGGGCCAAGCGCAGATCCAAGAGATCCGCATGGAGCTCCGAAAAGTGCATGCTTATGCCGTTTTCTTCTTCGGCTGAAGTTAGTGAGGACAGCACAATCCATCCCCGCCCCCAGCCAGGACACCCGGGATCACCGGGTTTGGGAGCGGGTCCTGGTTGAGAGCGCGGGAGGACTGTGCCGTCCTCAAATAGAAAGCCGCCTAAAAAAGATGGGGATCTGCTGACTCAAAAAAACCTACTCTCAACGACTGGTGGGTGCTTGCGCCACCTCCGGGCGCAAGACTGACCCGCCCGCAACCCCCCTCTGGACGGCGGCAATCGGCGTCTGCCCCGCACCACCGGGTGGCCGAGACACGCGAAGGAAGGACGACTGGGAGGAGGAAGAGGAGGGGGAGGAGGCGGAGGAGGAAGAAGCAGGAAGAGAAGGGGGAGGAGGCGGAGGAGGAAGAAGCAGGAGGAGGAGGAAGAAGCAGGAAGAGGAGGAGGTGGTGGCCGCGTTCGAAGCGAACTCCGAGGCCGGCAGCGACAACGACAGGAGGAGGAGGAGGAAGAACAAGCAGAGAGGAGGAGGACGAGGAACAGGACGAGGAAGGAGCAGGGAAAGGAGGAAAACAGGGAAGGCAGAAGAGAGAGGAGGACGACGAGCACGTGCCCGCATATGTGACGACCCCCGAGCTCGCGCCCTCCCCGCCCAGAGAGCAGCGCGCGAGAAGGCCTTCTCGTAGGCCTGCAGCTCGGCCACGGCCTTAATGAAGTCCTCATCCTGCGCCTGTCACGGCTCCATCCCGATCCCGCACTCTCGACCTCCCCCCCCCCCCCAAAAAAAAAAAAAAAACGACACCGGGTTTTTTGGTTCAGCACGTGCTCCCCCCCGAGATCTGGAACCCGTCCCCCAGAGGGACCGGGGTTTCCCCCCGGGGTCGTTTGCTGACGGCCGCGGGGCGGGGGCCCGGCGAGTGCCCCCTCAACTGGGGAGGCCGAGGGCGGCGCAAAAAACCTCCCGCGGCGTGTTTGGCCGCCAGGAGCGGAGCTGGGGGTCCTCCTGGCCCGTGGTGGCACAAGGGAAAAGGGCGGGGGGGGGCGAGCGGAAGCACAAGAGGAGGCGACAAGGGGAGGGTGGCGAAGGGGGGAAGGAAGGCACACGGTCGTGCAGCTGGGGGTCCTCCTGGCCCAAGGTGGCACAAGGGAAAAGGGGGGGGGGGGCGGGCGGAAGCACAAGAGGAGGCGACAAGGGGAGGGTGGCGAAGGGGGGAAGGAAGACACACGGTCGTGCAGCTGGGGGTCCTCCTGGCCCAAGGTGGCACAAGGGAAAAGTGTGGGGGGGGCGGCCGAGCGGAAGCACAATTCTTGATTCGCGGGTCGAGAGCGCACCTCTTCCGGTCGAAGCTGAGCGGGGCCGCGCGGAGCCTGAATTGACCGGAGAAGGGGGAGGAAAAGGGGGGCGCAGCCTCAGAACGAGGCCGGGAGGAGGCAAAGCCTCGGAGTCAGGCGGTGCCGTAGCCGACGTACTTGCAAAGGAGCGCCCAACGATCGGAAGAACAAGAGGGGGCGGGGGGGAGCGGGGGGCCACGGTCGGGCAGCGAGGGGGAGCACGGCTGGCCTGAAGTCGCCGGCCCAACGGGCCAGGGGCGTGAGAAGGTCTCTGGCAACTGGTTGACAATATTTCTATTTCTAGTTCGCGCGCGCAGAGCGGCCCCCAGAGGCCCCCGGACGAAAAGTACCCCGGCCAGGTCCTGGTCAGGTCCCCCCAGAGCACTCCAGGGGAGTGCCATTTTTCGACACGCCCTCACGAGGATCGTGGCCTCCGAGGGGGGAGCCGCAATCAACTACCCCCCCTCCCGCACCAAGAGGCCCCCAAGAGCCCCCAAAGAGGCCCTGGGGGCCCCCCAGACGCCGCCAAGGAGCCCCAACAGACTCCCAAGAAGTCCCCAAAAGGCACCCAAAAGGCCCTAAAGAGGGCTCCAGGGCTGGCGGAATGAGCGAAGCGATTAATATAAAGAGAGGCGGGCTGGAGCGTGGGACCGCAATCGGACAGCGGGGGGGAAACACGGTAGGTCGGTACGATGAGGAGAGAGGGCCACGGGGGGAAAGTGGGGCGCGGTCGGTCGGAATAAAAGCCGGGGGGCGGGGGGGGAGCATAGTGGCACGATCGGGAAGCAGGGAAGGGGACGCGGAGGGTCGGAATAAGGGAGGGGGCCTCGGTGGCAAGGAGGAGGCACGGTCGGTCGGAATCAAAGGAGGGGGGAACGAAAACACACGGTCGTGCAGCGGAAGGGGGGTCACGGTCGGTCGGAAGAAGGGGGAGCGGGGGGGGCGAGCGAGCGAACTAGCAAAGGTGCGGGTCTCTGACTAGCACCCTGCACAAACACCTTGCCCAGAAAACCATTCGCTGTTAGCTTGACAACGACACGGCCAGCATGTTTGCAGCCTCGGACAAACTACAATTCCTCATTATCTGTCTCAGTCGGTTAAGCAACCGAAACTCCAGAATACATAACGCAACCTTTGGAACCGAGAGACAAAACTAAACGATGTACAAACACAGAAAGCATGCAGGGCCACGAAGAGTGGATGAAACGGCCCAAAACGAATCGTTACCAACCTCTGTCTTTACATCAGCGCGACTGGCAAATCCAAGGCTGTGAGAGCAGCTCTGGGATCCTATACAAAACGAACAAATGTAAAAACACCACAGACACGCAGCTAGTCCAGGCAGGGCTGGTAAAATACGAAACAAAATACATAAAACCTTCAATGACATTTGTGTTGTGCAAGGGTGCGGCTGGGATATCTAAGGCTCGAGGGGCTGGAACCCCAGCTCTTCGAGCCTCGTTCGGAGCATGCTAGCTTCGGGTGTCATGTTGAGTTCCCAGGGCGATACAACTAATCAACAGCGTCGATCATAGGTTAGGCGCTGCCAAGAAGAACCTTCGGAGCAACTGCCGAGTTCTGAAGGGGCCTGGGAGTATCGGCTCAAATCTGAAGGCTTGAGCGAGAGGACCCGCGGCGAGTGCAGCCTATGGATCAGCATCGTGGCATGTTTCACAACACACTCTCTTGAAGGTGAAGAGGTGGGAATCCATATGTTACGGCGCTTGCTCAGATTGCGGCGCAAACCAGGAGAAGGTCACGGACAGTTTATGATCCGCAGCGATAGGTTTCTGGAGAGTCGATTTCAATCATTACGGATCTGGTCATTGCACAGTCGTACTTTGATGAATGTATCTAGAGGTTCTTGGCGAGAGAAATACTCCTGTTCACCAAATGGGTCAAATTATCGATGTTGCCGTTTGAATGTTCGCACACGGCAGTGGTGGATATCTTTGCAAGCGCTTGGCAGCGAGCACAAACGACGGAAATTAGGCCTGGTGCAAGACGGTTACGGCCATCGCGCCGAGTGGGAAGATGCGTTTGTCACCGTTTTCAGCATTGATTGGCGGAGCAAGCGGGACCAATGTACCGCGGAGTCAGAGTGGATGGCATGTTTCCCACGGTTCGCATCGTGTTTATAACAGACTGCAAGCCGTTGGCCAGCGTGGTCACCGGGGAGACCGTGCTTTCGGATCCTAGTCTGGCTCCCATGTTCGAGCGCATCACCAGCAACATCTTCAGCATGTTTCAGTCCGTCCGACTGGCGCCCAGCCCGAGACATCGACGATATGGTATGCTGGCAGCAACGGGCGTGAAATGTTCGAGACGGTTACCTGGTCAACAACACCATGGAAAGCCAGAGGTCCTGGTTTCATCTTGTCAAATTTCCACCGAGGAACTTGCGAATGCAAACTTCCTGGTGCACACAGCACGCGCGCCAGGACTTGCTCTGCAGCTGCTTGGTGCATCGAGGCAGTGGTTTGCAAGGGGTCCTATGCAGTGACGACCCCGATAATCATAGCAGGAACTTTTATCAACCATGCAATTTTTCCTTCACGGCTGAATCGATTGCTCTAGATGAAGCGGTCGAGCCTGTGAGGAAACTCACGCTTGAAAAAGGCAGCTGGCCGTTCGCCGTGTGACCTAGGCCTCGAGAAAGAACGCCAGCTCTGGGCTCCAGAGATAAGAAAGCGCGTTCTGTGGGCGCTTTCGGGGGGGGGGTTCTGGAACAGGGCCCCCCCCTGGTCCAAGTGCGGAGGGGAAGATTTGAACCCCCAGACCCTCCTCCCTCCCCTCCATAACAGAGGGTTCGAACCCCCCCCACCCCTCGTCGTCGTCGTCGTCGGTCGTCGTCGTCGTCGTTGTCGCCGTCGTCGTCGGTCGGCTGTCGTGGATCGTCGGTCGTCGGTCGTCGGTCGTCGTCATCGTCGTCGTGTCGTCGGTCGTCGTCGGTCGTCGTCGTCGTCGTCATCGTCGTCAACGTCGTCGTCAACGTCGTTGTCGTCGATCGTCGGTCGTCGGTCGGGTCGCCGGTCGTCTTCAGTCGTCATCGTCGTCGTCGTGGTCGTCGTCGTCGTCGGTCGTCGGTCGCGGGTCGTCGGTCGTCGGTCACGGGTCGTCGGTCGTCGTCGTCGTCGTTGTCGTCGTCGTCGATCGTCGGTCGGTCGGTCGGTCGGCCAGTTGGTCGGTCGGCCGGTCGGTCGGCCGGTCGGTCGTCGGTCGGTCGGTCAGCTGGTCAGTCGGCTGATCGGTCGGTCATGGCTGTCGTCATCGTCGGTGGTCGTCGTCGTCCTCGGTCGTCGGTCGTGGGTCGTCGTCGTAGTCGTCGGTCGTCGGTCGTCGTCGTCAACGTCGTCGTCGGTCATCGTCGGTCGATCGTCGGTCGTCGGTCGTCGTCGGTCGTCGTCGGTCGTCGGTCACCGTCGTCATCGTCGTCGTCGTCGTCGGTCGTCGGTCGCTTGTCGTCGGTCGTCGGTCTTGGGTCGTTGGTCGTCGTCTTCGTCGTCGTAGTCGTCGTCGTCGGTCGGTCGGTCGGTCGGTCGGCCGGCTGGTTTGTCGGTCGGTCGGTCAGTCGGCCGGTCGGTCGGTCGGTCGTCGGTCGTCGGTCGTCGGTCGGTCGGCCGGTCGGTCGGTCGTGGCCGTCGTCGTCGTCGTCGGTGGTCGTCGTCGTCGTCGGTCGTCGGTCGTGGGTGGTCGTCGTAGTCGTCGGTCGTGGGTCGTCGTCGTCGTCGTCGTCGGACGGTCGGTCGGTCGGTCGGCCAGTCTGTCAGTCGTCGGTCCTAAATCGTCGGTCGTCGGTTGTCGTCGCTCGTCGGTCATCGGTCGTCGGCGTCGTCGTCGGATGTTGTCGTCCGTCGTTGTCGTCGTCGTCGTTGTCGTCATCTTTGTCGTCGTCGTCGGTCGTCGGTCGTCACTCGTCGATAGATGGTGTCGTCTTCGTCGCCGTCGGTCGGTAGTTCGGTCGGCCAGTCGGTCGGTCGTCGGCCGTCGGTAGTCGTTCGTCGGTCGACAGTCGTCGTCGGTCACTGTCGTCGTCGTCGGCCGTCGTCGTCGTCATCGTTGTCGTCGTCGTCAGTCGTCACTCGTTGGTCCTCGGCCGTCGGTCGTCGGTCGTCGGTCGTCATCGTCCTCGTTATCGTCGTCGTTGGTCGGTCGGTCGGTCGGTCGGTCGGCCAGTCGGTCGCGCGTCGGTCGTCGGTCGTCGTCAACGTCTTCGTCGTCGTCGTCGGTCGTCGTCGTCATCGTTGTCGGTCGTCGGGCATCGGTCATGGGTCGTCGGTCGTCGGTCGTCCGTCGTCGTTGTCGTCGTCGTAATCGGTCGGTCGGTCGGTTGGTCGGCCGGCCGGTCGGTCAGTCGTCGGTCGTCGGTCGTCGGTCGTCGGTCGTCGGTCGTCGTCGTCGTCGTAGTCGTCGTCGGTCGTCGTCATCGTCGTCATCGTTGTCGTCGGTCGTCAAACGTCGGTCGTCGGCCGTCGGTCTGTCGGTCGTCGGTCGTCGTCGTCGGTCGGTCGGTCGGACGGTCAGCTGGTCGTCGGTCGTCGGTCGGGGGTCGTCGGCCAGTCGGTCGTTCGGCCGGTCGGTCGGTCGTCGGTAGTCGGCCGTCGGCAGTCGGTCGTCGTCGTCGTCGTCGGTCGTCGGTCGTCGGTCGTCGTCGTCGTCGCCGTCGTTGGTCGTCGTCGTCGCCGTCATCGTTGTCGTCGTCGTCGCCGGTCGTCGGTCGTCGGTTGTCGATCCTCGTCGTCGTCTTCGTCGTCGGTCGGTGGTCGTCGTCGGTCGGTCGGCCAGTCGGTCGTCGCTCGTCGGTCGTCGGTCGACGGTCGTCGTCGGTCGTCGCTCGTCGGTCGTCGGTCGACGGTCGTCGTCGGTCGTCGTCGTCATCGTTGTCGTCGTCGGTCGGTCGTCGGTCATCGATCGGTCGGTCGGCTGGTTGGTCGGTCGTCGGTCGGTCGGTCGATCGGACGATCGGTCGGTCGGCTAATCGGTTGGTCGGTCGGTCGGTCGTCGCTCGTCGGTCGTCGGTCGACGGTTGTCGGTCGACTGTCGTCGGTCGTCGGTCGTCGGTCGTCGGTGTCGTCGTCGACGTCGTCGTCGTCGGTCGTCGGTCGCTTGTCGTCGGTCGTCGGTCGTGGATCGTCGGTCGTCGTCGTCGGTCTGTCGGTCGGTCGGCCGGTCGTCGTCGTCGGTCGGTCGGTCGGTCGGCCGGTTGGTCGATCGTCGGTCAGTCGGTCGATCGGTCGGTCGGCCGGTCTGTCGGTCAGTCGTCGGTCGTCGGTCGTCGGTCGTCCGTCGTCCGTCGTCGTCGTCCGGAGTCCGTCGTCGTCGTCGCCGTCGTCGGTGGTCAGCGTCGTCGTCGTCGTCGTCGGCCGTCGGTCGTCGGTCGTCCGTCGTCATCGTCGTCGTCGTCGGTGGACGTCGTCGTCGTCTTCGTCGGCCGTCGGTCGTCGGCCGTCCGTCGTCATCGTCGTCGTCCTCGGTGGTCGTCGTCGTCTTCGTCGTCGTCGTCGGTCATCCTTCAGGGTCGGCGGCACCAGCAGCAAGGCCTTCGCAAGAAAAGCCCCACCTCGGACAAGCGGCGGGGCCGACCTCGGCCGCGCTCGCCGATGCGCACAGGCCACACTGCGCCCAGGCCGGAGGGGTAAAGTTGGGGGGACCAGCTCACGGGAACTTCAACTGACGTTCCGAACCCTCCGTCCCAAGAGGACCCCCGAGACCGCCAGCAGGCGACCAAGAAACTCCCAAGATGCCCGAGGAGGCCTCCAAGAGGCCCAAAAGAGGCCCCCAGAGGGTCCCCAAGAGGCCCCCAAAGGCCTCACCAATTGACTTGGTGCCTCTTCTGGGGAAGACGGGATGGCGAAAGCCTCTTGAGCAAGGTTAGGGGGACCAGCTCAGGGGGGGAGGCACCGACCTGGGATCGGCGGTACATCGCAGATGGATCGGCTAGAGGTGCCCGACAGCGAAGCCGAACGTTCCTGGGCGGGGTGGTCTTTCGGGTCCCCGTCAGCGATGCATGGGCGACTGGAGGTCGTCGATGCTTCCCCGCCTGAGCCCATCCCGTACCTATCGTGGCTCCCCGGCCTTCGGGTCACACAGCTCGGCTCTCGGGCGGCGCTGCGGGACGATCCGGGCAAGCACGGAACGCCCTCGGCGAGGCGCAGCCGCTGCAGAGCCTCCCGAGGCATGGAAGGCAACCGAGAGCTGACGAAGAAAAAGTCCGACTACCTCGAACCTCGAGGCCTCGCAAGCCCCATGAAGCCTACGGTCGGGAATGTTTGCTTAGCGTGTCGCGACGGCGGCCCCCACGACACACTATGCTTCGCGAGTGGATAGCATGTCGCTCCGCTCCGCGGGGCGGGAGGTGGGGAAAAACTCGAGACGCTGACGCCTGGGGACGGGGAAGTGGATAGGGTGTCGCGCCGCAGCATGGTCGGCCAGAACCAGCGGCACGACACGCTTAGCCAAAAGTCCCGACCCTATCTCACCCTGTCGGGCGCACGCTACCGTGATCCGATGAACTAGTGCGTGAGCGCCAGATCCATGGATCGGGGAAGGCACCCCAAACACATGAGGCCGGAGCCGCCTCATTTGGCGACCGCGCGCGCCGACTTCGCATGGAAGCGGGACCCGTCGCCAACCCACGCGCCTGAATCCATGTCAGCGTTGCCTCGGCCCTGTCGTTGCCCCCGAGGGCCTCCCCCCGCGGGATCCGCGGGGCCCGCCAGCCCTGGCCCGCGGGCCTCGAACGCCCACGCGGCGACCGCCTCCTTGAGGCCCGGGCCGTTCTTGTCGGAGGTGACGCTCCGCAGGACAGCCTTCTGCGCCTGCGCGGGCCGGGCCGCTCGGGGCGGAGGAGGGACGAGGGCGAGGACGAGGAACGAACGAGCCAACGAACCACCTCTGCGGACAGCCGTCCAGGCGAGGACGAGGAAGAGGAGTTGGAGCAAGAGGCTCTCCTCCTCCTCCTCCTCCTCCTCCTCCCTCCTCCTCCTCCTCCTCCTCCTCCTCCTCCTCCTCCTCCTCCTCCGGTGGACGGCCAAGACCAGGGCGAGGGCGAGCCCCCCCCCCCCTCCGAGGGCCGCCGCGCGCGCGCCTCCCGCCCGGAGAGCGCCTGGCGCGCGGCGAGCGCGTGCGGGTCCTCCGGGCCGCCGCGGGCCGCCGCCGCGCCGTCCGCCGCGGCGAGCGGCGCAGGGCGGCCGCCGCGGCGCGGCGCCGCCGCCCGCCCGGGCACCCGGCGCCTCGAAGAAATCGGGGCGCAGGTGCACATCTTAACGGGCGAAGAACGGCATAACATAAACTGTTTTCGCCGTCGGGGGCGCCTGTCCCTGGGCGGCTGGAAAGTTTATACCCTCACGGTGGCACCGTAGGGGTATAAACTTTCCAGCCGCCCAGGGACAGGCGCCCCCGACAGCGAAAAAACTTGTGTTATACCGTTCTTCGCTCGCTGAACATCTTTCGGCCTCTCGAGGCCCACGCCTAACAGGGAAGATGTCGGCCCGAGTCCCAGGCTTCGTGGGGCTTACGAACAAAAACCAAAATTTGGAGGCCCGACCGTTCATCCTCGATAGGGGTGCGTCCGATAGCCCCCTGGGGGTGTATCCAGGGTTTCCCCCTTTTTTCTGAGCGGCCAAAGCATTCGGACGGAACACGGGGATTGGGGGTGAAAAATCGCCTGCGATCACCTGGCCCCAGGGCCGTCAAGAAACGGCTCGGGATGAGACACTGGTCCTGGGGAAGTGGTCTAGAAGTCACGGGCCCGTCTCGAAAAAATCGGGGCGCCGAATGTCTGGGCCTGCCGCCGCTGTCCTTGCCGCCAGCCTTGCCCTCGTCCTCGCCACTGCCGCCGCCCCCGTCGTCGGCCGTCATCGGCCGTCATCGGCCGCCGTCGTCGGTCGTCTGTCTGTCTATATGTCATCTGCCGGTCGGTCGTCGGTCATCGGTCGTCGGTTGTCGGTCGTCGGTCGTCGGTCGTCGGTCGTCGGTCGTCGGTCGTCAATCGTCAGTCGTCGGTTTTCCGTCGTCCGTAATCCGTAGTCCGTGGTCCGTGTTGTTTGCGGTCCGTGGTCCGTGGTCCGTCGTCTGTCGTCCGTCGTCGTCGTCGTCGTCATCGTCGTCCTTCGTCCTCATCCTCCTCGTCGTCGCCGCCTTCGGTCTAAGGTCGTCGTCGGTCGTCGGTCGTCGGTCGTCGGTCGTCGTCAGTCGTCGTCGTCGTCGTCGTCGTCGTCGTCGTCGTCGTCGTCATCGGTGGGTCGGTCGGTTGTGGAGGGGGAGAGGGGAGGGGAGGGGAGGGGAGGGGAGGGGAGGGGAAGGGAAGGGAAAGGAAGGGAACGGTAACGGGAACGGGAACGGTAACGGGAACTGGAACGGGAACGGGAACGGGAACGGGAACGCGAACGGGAGGGGAGGGAAGGGAAAGGAAGAGAAGAGAAGAGAAGAGAAGAGAAGAGAAGAGAAGGGATGGGAGAAGAGAGAGAAGAGAAGAAAGAGAAGAGAAGAGAAGAGAAGAGAAGAGAAGAGAAGAGAAGAGAAGAGAAGAGAAGAGAAGAGAAGAGAAGAGAAGAGAAGAGAAGAGAAGAGAAGAGAAGAGAGAAGAGAAGACAAGGAGGAAGCGCACATGGGGAGGGGACGAGAGCACAGGGGAGGCGAGGGGTGGGGGGCGAAGGCAGGGAGGAAAGGGCGGCCGCAGAGGGGGAGGCCCAGATACGCGCACTCTCTCTCTCTCTCTCTCGGAAGGGGAGGGTGGGCGGCGAAGAAAAGCAAGGGGGGGGGGAGGAGAGCGGAGGCCTCGGTGCACACCTCCTCCGGAGGAGGCGACGGCAGGGGAGGACAGGCCCTGCGGAGGGGCGGGGGGCGGGGGGGGGCGACGGGGGAGCGCGCGAGGGCGAGCGGCCCAGCGCGCTGCTCCGGGCAGGGCGCGCGGGAGGCCGCGGCCTCGGGCGGGCGGGGGGCGGGCGGGGGGGGGGGGCGAGGGCGCGAGGGCGCGGGCGGGGGGGCCCCCCCGGGGAGGGGGCGGGGGCGGAGGGGCACGGGGGGCCCGGAGGGGCGGGGGGGGGGGAGAGGGAGGGAGCGCGGGGCAGAGCGGCAGCGCCTCTCGGGGCGGGACGCGGCGCGGGGAGCGCGGGTGGGCTCGGCTGGGGACCTGCCGCGCACCCCCTTCCGAGGTCGAGGCTGACGGGGGCGGCCTGGTGGGTGGCTCGGCCGCCACCCCGTGCGTAGTGCGCTGGGGGGAGGGGGAGGGGGGGGGGAAGGGGAGGGGAGGGGGAAAGGAGAGGTGAGGGGAGGGGGAGGGGGCAAGCGAAGCGTGCTCGCGCCACATCTGCCATCTTACCCCTACCACCCATCCCTTCCCATCGAGACGTCTGATTCCTGATCCGCCGGCGGGTGCCATAGCGGACCTGGAACCCCCAGAAGGACGCCATCGTGTTATGCGCAATCAGAAACAGGGGAGCTGCGTACAGTGGCTGAGGAAGAGCAGGATGAGCTGGAGGATGAGCTGGATGAAAGGCAGGAGGATGAGGAAAGGGGATGGCGAGGACGAACTGCAGCAGAAGGAGCTGGAACGGAAGGAACGGGAGAAGCAAGACCGGGGGAAGCCGGGGGGGGGACAGGAGCGGAGAGACAACGACGAGGAAGGACTCCGATCCAGAAAAAAGGTGCCCGCCCTGGGGCGAAAGCGCCTCTGAAGCAACGCCCCGATCCTGAAACGAGGCCCACACGCTGCGGCGGGAGCACCCCGCTCCCCAAAGCCATGGCTGCGCTCAGGGGTCCTGGCTTGGCGCTTGTGATAATCTGATGGACTTCCCGGGTGTTCGCCGCGTCGTCGCCTCGTGGGCGCGCCCGTGCGCCGGGTGGGTTTCCCGAAGCGTCGCCTCGCTCGCGCCCGTGGCCCGTGCCCGCTCGTGGACGACCTCGTGGGCGGAGCGCCCCCGCACGCTGGGTGGGTCTCCCGAGGATTCGCCGCGTTGGCGCCCGTGCCCACTCGTGGGCGCCGCGTGGGCGCCACGCGCTTCCACCACAGAGTCGACCCACCATAGCTTACACCCCATAGCTTGCACCACGTGGCTGTCGACGCGTAGCTGGAACCACAAAGCTCACCTCATGTGGCGTTTCACCGCACAGCTCACACCACACAGCTCATGCCAGGTAGCTCACATCAGATAGCGCAGACACCACAGCTTACAGCACAGAAAGTTGCACAATATGTAGCTCACGATCTGGCTCACAC